CTGGTGTGCTTCTATAGGAGTTGTCGTGAAGACCCCCCTCAACTTTTTTAAACTGGTGTGTTGCTATAGGAGTTGTGTGAAGGACCCCCCGTCAATAAACCTGTGGTTCTATAGGAGTTGTTGTGAAGACCACCCCCCCCTCAATAACCTGTTGTGTTTTATGAGTGTGTGGAAGACCCCCCTCAATAAACCTGTGTGCTTTCTATAGGGAGTTGTGCTGAAGATCCTCACTAACCTGTGTGCTTTCTATAGGACGCTTGTGGTGAAGACCCCCTCACTAAACCTGTTGCTTTCTATGGAGTTGTGTGGAAGACGAACCCTCACTAAACCTGGCCATATATGTGGCATGCTGTTTTCTTATAGCGAGGGGGGCTGTGTGAAGCGCCTCACTAAAACCTGGTTGCTTTCTATGGAGTTGTGTGAAGACCCCCGTCACTGAAAACCTGTGTGTTTCTATGAGTTTGTTGAAGACCCCCCCTCACTAAACCGCACCGGGGGTGTGTTTCTATAGGACTTGTGCGTGAAGACCCCCTCACTTAAACCTGTGTGTTTCTATAGCCGGTTGTGTGGAGACCCCCCTCGCACGAAAACCTTGTGTGGTGTTTCTATAGGAGTTGTGGTGAGACCCCCTCACTAAACCTGTGTGTTTCTCTTTAAGTTGGTTAGACCCCCCCACCTAAACCTGTGTTTTCTATAGAGTTGTGTGAGCTCACATTAAACCTCTGTGTTTGTATAGGAGTTGTGCATGAAGACCCCCACCTGTTTGCGACGGCATCAGCGACCCACGAACCTGCCACCAGGGTCAAGCTGGGGAATGCTGGTCGTGGCCGCCTGCTCCAGACACTCGCCTCCGAGAGGCGCTGTGGCAGAAGGCTACCGTTCTTTGTAGGTCTGAGATTTAAGTCAAAAATACATTTTGAGAGAAACAGAATTCTGGATAATTTTTGTATTTTTCTGTGATTATTGTGAGTTTTTTTTTTCTTCTGAGACTAAAGTCAGAATCAGCGACTTTTATCTCAAGAAAAAAATAAGAAAAATCGGAAAAATAAATCTTAGAGTTGGTTGAATCGAATATTTATATTTACTTCTGAAAAAAGAAATTCAGAAGAAAAATTTATAGAAATAATAGAAAATGTAAAAATAAATTCCATTCTGAATCTTTCTGGCATTTTATTTTTTCACTTCAGAAACTCAGATATTTTACGTTAAATTCAGAATTAAAAGGCAGGAATCTGACATTAAAGTCAGGAAAAAATGTCATATCTAAATATATTTGGAAATTTCATCTCATGAATTCCAATAGAAAACAAAAAAAATGACATTTCACATTTTTTTTTCCCTTAAAAGTTCACCATAAATAATATTCTCAATTTTTATTTTCCAGCAAAATTAAAATGTCTGGAAAAAACATTCTTTTTTGTAGGAAAGTTGAGAATTTTTATTTTTTTCTGAAACATTTAAGGAATCTGTCTTTTTATTGGGTCAGAATCCCAAAAACATGTCACACGTGTTTCCTAATCCTCGGTCCATAGGAAACAGCAGGTGTGAGTCTGTGTGTCTGTGAGCTGATCTGGCCCAGAGGCCTTAGGGGGGGCCCCCCCCCCTTGAGAACCCTATCTATTGCAGTTGGCCAGTGTGTTTCAAACTGATTCTGATCTGAAGCTTTAAAAGTTGGAAGTGGTGTTTGTGAGATGTCCTTTGTGCAGAGATTCTGGTTTCAGTTTCTGTTCGGACTTCATGATACAAAACAACAAGGTCCAACTGTGGCTGGTTACCCAGAACACTGATGATGGTTCAAAAAAGAACCTCTTCAGTAGCTTCATTAGCTCTCGTAAATCCTTTGTTTGCTCAGCAAAAGTCTTTTTTTTAAATGCTAGTAGGGAAGGTCCGCCACTTCAGTCATTTTTGCAGATCATTTTTCCACTCTATTTATCACTTGTCTATTTGAATTTTCTTCGGCTTAAAGATATTGATTTTTACATGATATAAAAAAAAAAGCGATTGAAATTCTCCATTTTTACCGAGATGAAAAAAGGCATTTTCTGCTTTTTTTTTTAATGCAATTACTCTTTTTCTGCAGCACTACTTAGAGCGGGGGGTCAAACTAAAATACACAGTGGATTAAGAATGGGGACTAGTGAGGCCGTGACTGGTTCAATGTTTATTGAAAGACTTATGAAATGAAACTTATTGCCACTTATTAACCTTGAACATAACAAGCTCATTTTGATTGCCTTTTAAAAACAATATTAAAAAATTAAATTAATCAGTTCATTAATTTCTTATGGCTCCTATCTGCAGCTTTTCCAGAGTCATTTTCTTTATGATTACATTTCCCACAGGCAAACAACAAGCTTCAACAAAACTATTTTTTCCTTCAAGAGAACCCAAACATGCCCTGTTTGTTTCACTGAAGGAGAAAGTGCAGAAGGAAACATCCCATTAAAAACTTCCATGTGGCTGCTCTGTGATGCTAGCTTCAGATACTTGGCATCTCATCTTGGGTGCAAGGTCATCAATGTTTGGGCTCAGGCTCTGAGCTGAGGAGACCCTCAGGATGGAGTGAAGGTGTGTGTGTAATATACCGGCGGGCCAGATCTAATAGGAATTAGAAATTATCCTGCGGGCCGAAATTAAATCCAGCAAGGGCCTGATTTGGCCCCCGGGCCTCGAGTTTGACACATGTGATTTAGAGGGATGTCATTGTTATTCCTTCCCTTCAAGATAATCCATTAGTTTTAACCCCTTCCTGTCACCCTTTGAGCAAAAGCACACATGGCAATGAGGACACTTATGCATTCAAGGTGAGCAGGAACTAATTGAGACTCCAGATAATGCAGCGTTCTTTATCAGAGGATCATTTAAAGCTTCAGAAAGCACGTTACTTTTCATGCTTTCTGGCAACGTGAAATGAACTTAATACCTCCTGACATCTCCGTTATTTCCTTTCTCACACACACTTCATCTCACACACACTTCATCTCACACACGTCCTCTCGTTCAGTCACAGTTACTGTTTGCAGGAGGAAGAGAGGAGGCTTAGAGAAGAAATCCTCACGCCTCCCATCGCTCTTGTTTGTCAAGCAAGACGGATGAGGCAGCATGAACCTTTCCTGTCCAACAGGGAATACACACACACACACACACACACACACACACACACACACACACACACACACACACACACACACACACACACACACACACACACACACACACACACACACACACACACACACACACACACTGTCTCTATCCATTATCTCACACGGGACTCACTGCTACCAAACCCATCGGGGCTGGCTGTTTGTCGAAGAGGACGTGATGAATAACATTTCTGTTTTAGACGTCGGTTAAGAAAAGAAAGGGCAACTCCATCGTCTTTTATTATATCCAATTTATTTGTATTTTGCTGTATTTAACATCGTAGAAGACAAAGACACAAAGAAAGACACTTTTATGATCAACAGGTTTCAAAAGAAAGGTATCGATGGATGAAGAGGGAAGTCTCTATTTATCACTTGGTCTAGAAATGTCTATTGAATTCTCTAGGCTTTAAAGATATTGATTTTAAAAGAGAACATAATCCGTAAATCTCCATATTTGATGAGTTGAAAAAAGCATTTTATGATATATATTTATATTTAATGCAATTATCTTTTTCTGCAGAAGAATGCCATTGTTATTCCTTCCCCTAAAGATAATCCACTAGTCTAACCCATGCCTGTCACCGTTTGAGCAAAAGAAGACCTGTCCTTACAGATAGTCAGGAATTGTGATATCCTTAAGAAGAAAGCGTTAAAAAAAAGCCGGTTTCAGCTCAAATATCTAAACTCACGAGCACAGCAAAATATGTTTTAACTGTCTGTTGTGAAGATGATGGAGCAGCTGACAGTCTCAGAGTTGCATCCTTCTCCAAAGGCAAACAGGAAGTACATCACCTTCCTTATCTTTGCCAACTCAGCGATTCTTTCCCCAAATTCGTACGAATCGGCCTCGTAGAATTGGACGCTTTGGTCCTTTTCTCCCCTCCAAAAAACTCCAGCTGGCTCCAGAAGTTGCCGATTCATCAGGTTGGTTAAATCCGGCGTCCAGAGCTGAGAAGTGGCGGTTATTGTGAGGCGTGCGATATCTGGAAGGCACACCGACCACCGTGAGAACTTTAGGGATTGTTTGCTGAAGTCCAGTTGATAAACGGTCTCGTTGGGACGAAGCAGACGTTCTCCGTCCTGCCTTTTCTGGCCTCGTTGCTGCAGAGATTGAGCTCGTTGACGCATCAACTCCGTCAGATCGAGGTCCGGACGGAAAGAAATCTCCAGCTCCGAAGACATGTTTGTTTGAACTCCTGGTTACTCTTTCTCCTCGCTGGTGCAGAATGTGTTCAAAGCTGGTGCTCCACAGATCAACAGAGAGGTGCTAAGGAACAGATTTAATGATATGTTCAGGGTTTTCCCTCAGGGACATTTGCCTGGTACTGTTGTCTGTGTCTATTGTTTGCTTGGCTACAGGTGTTTAACTCTAATGCCAGAAGTTAATTACCCTAAGGTAACATGTTCCTGATGTGGAAAGGGTCCACTGAGATTAAGAGTCAACGTTGTCAAAACAAGTAAAAATTTCCAACTTTTTCAGTCAGTACGCCAAAAAAAGTCAGCATTTTAGAAAAGTCAGAAACCAAAAAGTTTGAATTCTGAGATTAAATTCAGAAGTCTGGAATGTTAGTCTACGAGGAAATGATCCGACTTCTCATTTGTTTGATTAATAGACATTTTCCTGATGAGTTTATGGTCTCAATTGCTAGTTTCAAGTCTCTTTCAAGACAGAATGATAACTGTTTCGTACATTTTTGGTCCTATTTGAAGTAAAATATACGAGTTTGAACTCGTTGACGCATCAACTCCGTCAGATCGGTGTCCGGTCGGAAAGAAAGCTCCAGCTCTGAAGACATGTTTGAACTCACAGTAGCTCTTCGTGTTTAAAGCTGGAGTTTCACAGATCAACAGAGAGGTGCTAAGTAACAGACCTAATGATATTTGCCTCCCCAGCTCAAGGTTTGTCCTCAGAGAGATTTGCCAACTACTGTTTGTACCACGTTTTGTTTGTGTCTTGTTTTCGCTTGGCTACAGGTGTTTAACTCTAATGCCAGACATTAATGACCCTAAGTCAACGTGTTCCTGATGAGTTTATGGTCTCAATTTCTTCAGAATTCTGAGCAAAAGTCCTAATTCTGAGTCAACGTTCTCAAAAACAGTCCGAATTCCAACTTTTTCCGAGTAAGAAGCCGAAAATAGTCCGATTTTTCTGAAAAGTCAGAAACCAAAAAGTTGGAAGACTGAGATTAAAGTCAGATTTCTGAGATTTTAGTCTTCGAGAAAATGATCCTACTTGTCATTTGATTCTTTAACCTTAAAATACCTTTTCCTGATGAGTTTGTGGTCTTAATTGCTAGTTTGAAGTCAGAGTTCTCAGAAAAAGTCAGATTTCCAACTCAGGATTTCCAAGATTTCCTCCGAATTCTGAGTTCAAAGTCAGTCTAGTCTACGAGAAAATGATCCTACTTCTCATTTGATTCCCTTGATAGACCTTTTCCTGGTGAGTTTATGGTCTTCATTGTTGGTTTCAAGTCTCTATCAAACAGAATGATTTGATAGACACTTCGGGATTTGAAATCAAACATGAAACCCAATATTATTATTATTACTTGAAACTAGCAATCAAGATAGCATTTTAGAGGGATTTCGACCACTTTGTTCTTTCTTTTTTCACTTAGCTAAAGTTAATTACCCGCCTAAAACGGTCTCGTGCATTGTTCAGTTGTACTTCGTTTCGCCATCTCTTGACATTTCTGGTTAAATAAAGTCAAGATGTTAGATTCAAGGCTTCAACACTGGAGTCCACAAACCAATGGATGTTATGGGAGGGAGAGATTCCCTAACAGCGATTCCCTTTGGTCTCTACGTGCTGACGGCTTGCAGAGGAAGTGCTCTCTGCTTGTGTTTCAAGCGGTCAGTCATCAGGTCTGTTTCCTCTCAGAGTTCAGATGAAAGCTGAGATGGATGGAGCCTCACTTTCCACAGTGCAGAGACACAGAGTTTGAGCAGGAGCCTCCCGGGGGATTACAGAACGACTCTGAGGTTTGATGGTGCAGTGCTTTGTTTTTCTTCCTCCTCTTCGGCCCTCTAGAGAGGCCACGCTGTCCCCATCAGCAGACTGTCGCCTCGAGGTTTGACAGGAAGTGCTATTAGCAAACCTGACATCTCCAAGGACGCTGTTGTCACACCTGTGTTGACACCTGTGGTGTCGCTATCTGAATCAAACAGTTTTTATTGTGCGCCAGGGGAGGAGCATGTTTTTTTAAAGTAAGTACAAAAAAAGTCAGAATTTAGAAAAGGTCAGAATTCCTAAAAAAATCAGATTTTTTTTTTAATTCGGTGGAAAAGTCTGACATTTGAAAAAAAGTCAGAAATCCAAAAAATGTCAAAATTCTGAGAAAAAAAGTCAAGATTTCATAAAAGTTGAATTCTGAGAAAATGACTGAATTCCCCCCAACAAAAGATTTCTTAGAAATAATTTAAAATTCTTAGAAAAATCCCAAATCAGCTCCATCAGCTGATGAGTGTCGCCTCCTGTAAGAGGTTTGACAGGAAGTGCTGTCAGTCACCCTGACATCTGCACACCGCTCACATGTGGTGTCGCTTCTCGGGGAGGAGAAAGAGCCAAACTACGGGTATGAAAGGTGAGGCGTGGTCTCTAAAAATCTACGAATAAATGCTGAGTCAGAATGTTGAGGAAAAGTCTGAATTTGGAGAAAAAGTCAGAAATTTAAAGAAAATTCTGAATGTTGAGAAAAAGTGAAAAATTCTGAAAAAAGTCAGCATTTCAAAAAGTAAGAATTTTGAAAATGTCAGAATTCTCAGAATAATGTCAGCTCACATGTGGTATCGCTCACTGAATCCTTTCCAGTATTGCGCTATACTGCTTACTCGTGGACAATTCACAGATCAGGTTGCCTCAAGGTTGGGTTTTTTTTATGACACTGGCCGTGGCTTATGGGGGGAAATGTGTGTTTACTAACCAAAGGGTCAAAGGTTAGATACCAAGGTCCTGCAGTAAACATGTCAAAGTGTCCTTGGACAAGATACTTACAGTAACGCCAGATTGCTCCCGTAGGTATATTTAGTATTGAAGTGTATACTGTAGGTTGCCTTGAATACAAATAAACATTTTAGTAATGAGGTGAAATTTAATGGGTCCCTATTCTGCTTTTTTTTGTCTGTGGTTTTCGTGTTCTATTGGTTTTTTGCATGTAAATGGTCTGCAAAGGCTAAAATCCCTCATGTTAGGAAAGACAACAACACGCACACACACACACACACACACACACACACACACACACACACACACAGTTATAACCTCTCACCCGTGTCCTATTACAGCTGGATTTATGATTGAGAGACTCACAGTGATAAATCTGTCCCCTGGTCCTGAATGCATCAGCAGACAAGAGGCTCTCCACCTGCACGTTATTTATTCTCCACGAAACACCGCCTGTTTGTTTCTCTCACCTTCCCCCCAGAGATGGCAAAAGTACACATCCTTTCCTCAAGTAGAAGTACAGATACTCGTGTTTCAAAATACTCTGGTAAAAGTAGAAGTACTGACTAAACTTCTTTACTCAAGTCAAAGTAAAGAGGCTTTGAAATGTACTTCAGTAAAAAGTACCCATAACTAGCAGCTGTTTTAAAGAGTACCTGACCTCCCTTTATATTAATAGAACAATAATGTCATTGTTAGCTAATGAATGTTTCCATGCTGAACAACGGCAACATGACAACGTTTTCATTGGTCCCTCTTCTTTAGAGAAGACCAGGAAATGATGGATACACGGATCGTGTTCAAATCAATAGGCACGCAATGACTCTAAATAATAATGATCACGCCACCAAACACACATTCAAACTAAAGGAACCAGCCTGTTTGGAAAATGTGAGAAGTAGAAAGTACAGGTATTTGGGTTCAACATGTAAGAAGTAGAAAGTACAGGTATTTGTGTTCAACATGTAAGAAGTCAAAGTAAAAAGTCGTCAGAAAAATAAGTAGTGGAATAAAGTACTGATACCAGAAAAATGTACTTAAGTACAGTAACAAAGTATTTGTACTCCACTA